ATCTATGTGTGTTTGAGGAGGAAAGAAGAGTTTTATATAGAGCATGTTGATTGTGGTCAGCCTCGAGAGACTTAGGAGTGATGGAAAAATTGCTTACAGATCAGTTGTGACCTGTCATGACCCAGTGTGCCTCAGCCTTAATCCATGAGGTTCGGCCTCAGTGGGGGTGCATGGCCTGGAAGCTCCTAGCAACCCAGTGGCGATAAAGACCAAACACAGGCACCTTGTCATCTTTAGAGAGCTCTCAGTTCCATGTTGTAGAACTAGAGTCATTTCTTCATTAGCCAACTTTTCTGCTGTTTCTTAACCATCCAGCCAATAACACAGGGAACCATTTCTCTCTTTGTCCTCCTCTTTCCTCTGGTCCCTATTGAGTGTAGCTCAATAAAAGTTATACCAAAAGTAATTGACTAACCAATTAACGTAGTTTAGACTTTATGAGATTGTGCATCACCATGAAGGAAACATTTATCACTGCCATGATACAGTATGCTTACACAATATGATAGATTCATTGATAATAGCAATGTTTATGTGTTTGAAATTCCTTTAAATAATATTAATTCAGGAATGTAGCATAATTTTTAAATACCTTGTGTTGCTAAAAGCACATATCTGTAGTAGATTCAAGTTTATTCCTTTCACTCACCTTTGTATGGGTGTTAATAACTGCCTGTAATTTGAGTCCAGGTTTATTCAACAGCTTTGAACTGTGTGAATGTGTCTGTGCAAGTGAAAGGGCAAGTGTGTGTGTGTGTGTGTGTGTGTGTGTGTGTGTGTGTGTGTGTGAAATCATGTCACAGCCAACCCTTCAGGAAATAATTCTCTATCATTAAATAACATTAATTAATTCAACAATGGGCATGTTTAGAGCATTACTTTGTGGCAGAAACTTCTCCATAGGTTTCTAGTGTCTAATAAGATTTCACTGTCCATAAAATCCGAAATTCAGTACTCCCAAAGCACGGTGTGACTCATTTTCCCTATAAAAACAAAATAAACAATACTAAAGAAAATGAATGAGCTGGGCATTGGTGGCTCATGCCTTTTATCCCAGGAGGCAAAGGCAGGTGGATTTCTGTGAGTTTGAGGCCAACATGGTCTACATAGTGAGTTCCAGGACAACCTGCAAAGCAATATAGAGAAACCTTGTTTCATAAAACCAAAAAAACCCCCTAAAACCAAAAAGAAAAAGAAAATGTATATATCAAAAAGCAATATTATTTCAGGTGGTCTTATGATGAACTCTAGAGTACTCTGTGTCACAAGACTCAAACAAGGAGAAATCATGGTATTGTAAACCAGAAAATTTGCATGCAATCAACACACACCAAACCTAAATTTAATAAGACTCTCTCTAAATATGCTAGTGAATATTTGATCAGAATGCACACATTCCTATTGAAGAAAAATTTGCAGGTATTTTTGAATCCAAAGAAAAATAACCAATGATCAAAAACAACACAAAAGTTATGCAAACAAAGAAAACTAAATGGTAGAATTCTAATGATGAAAAAAATATAAAGTTAATAGGTATTGTGATGAGGAACTAAGGATCCTAAAATTATAGAATAGAATCTCATTCCTGAAGATATTTGAAGAAAGTATTCATAGTCCAGCAGGGGGCACTGTGTACCTCTCATATATTAACAAGACCTCAGGCTGACTCCTGACTCACATTTAATCTCCTGGACCAAGGTTACTGGCCAGGAATTAGAGGCTGCAGTTCAAAAGATGTTCCTGCATCCCTGGCCATAGAGTCATCCCCTCACTAACAAGATTCGATATAGTGATGGTGGTGATAATAAAAGGCTCATAAAGCATGAAATCACCACTGACCAATACCCTGAGGGCCCCAGAGTCAAAGAGCATCTTTGGGTGCTTTCTCCAGAAATTAACAGCATGACATGGATGCCAGTCACATTAACCAGCTTTCTTCCATCTCTGTCCTTATTATAGATTAAAGAGGACTGCCTTTGGAATGATCTTGCACATTTCTTGACTCTGTCCTATAAGCTACATCTTTTCAGGGTCTCTTCCTGGGCTGTGGTGATGCTGGGGAATGACACTTTCCAGCAGTTACTGATCCTTTCTTTACCCACAACTTCTAGAAGTAGCCTGGCCAAGACTTTAGACTTGATTTCCCCAACAATTAACAGGCATTCACATTGCTGCTAAATTTTACCTTAGATAAGATGCTGTCCTGCTGTCCAGAGCTCCAAGTCTGAAAACCATTCTGAAGTCTATTGAATGCTACACTACAATGATGCTCAGCACAATGAGTCACAGATGAAGAAGCAAGATATAAACATGCATTTACCTGAGCCTGGCAGAAGTTCTGCCCTGTGACAGTGGGATCCCATGGCCAGGCAGGGTTGACACACTTATGTTGACTGTCCACAGACAAGAAGATGGGGGAAGATGGCATCTGCGTTTGTCCATATTCTAGTTATTGCCATCAAGGGGGGGATGTAATTGTCAACTATTGTGATAGAGATTTAAAATTACAGAATTCAAATATCTTCTACCTTAGTTTTGTTTTAGTTTGTAGCATCAGATTCGACAGATATCCAGAGAGAAACGTTCTAGTTATGTTCTTTATACAAGTAGATCAAAGTAACATACCTGTGAATTCCTATTTCCTGACTATTCCTTTATTAATTTTCACATGAAGACAATGCAAATATATTGTATACTCTTTAAAAGCTATGAAAAAATATCTGCTCTGGCATTAGGTTAACATATTACACCCTACAAACGTGATGCTGACATTATAAATCCAAATACCACAGAATGCAATCTCACTGCTAAGATCCTAAGAACTGTTGCACATGTCTTTAGTATGGTGAGCTCTTCCTGAAGCATGGTGAGTTCTCTATGTCTTCATAAAATTCCTTTGAGAACACAGGGGGATAATAATGTATTGTCATGGGAAGAGTGATAGGGATAACTGTGGCTTTGCAGCTACTGACCAATGATCACCTAAGATTGTTCCTAAAAAACTGGGACAGAGGAGGGAATGAAAAGTTGCCATAGGGTGCTTACATTGGTGTGTGTGTTTTGCAAGTCTCTCCATCATGGATCAGTATCAGTTATCATCTTTCACTTGTGTTAGCCCATAGTGTTTGCAATGGGCTAACAAACCAATCATTCATTTGTTAAATTATTTCTGTATTTGAACACATTGCTTTCATCTTGAATAACATTTTATTCCCAGGACAGTAACATATTAGTTCATATTTCTATCTCATGACTGTAACTAAACTTGAAAGTTAAACAGTTTGCAGCCTGAAATGGTAAATATGTCTCTCCTCTTTCAATATTTTAATTCTGTAAGCAAGGACAAAGAAGTGCATCTTCTAGAAGGTGTCTTTTCTTCAATGGCATCTACCCTTAAAAGTGTGAACAGGCAAATATTACCTTATTATTAGAAACTCGGTGTTGAATATTTTGTGAAGTATAAAGCACCAAGCAATATGCCTGTATTTTTAGTGGTAAAACATAAGAAACTTAATCCTGACACATAATGCTCAGCCTGGGATTCAGGAATTTCTTTTGCTGCATATGATGGGAGGAAAGAGAATAAATGAAGGAATCAGGAAAATTTCATAATCTAAACCACATCAGTTTATATTCTGTGTTAGATCAGCATTTATTAAAACTCAAGGTACACGTGGATCCTGCATCTGTGGGTATAAAGTAGTCCTAACATCCTTGATTCATAAAGACCTCCTTCTCACATAGATCACACCAATAATTTAATGCCAACAATACAAAAAAATGGCTAAAATAAAGTCAAAACCTTAGGCATACAGAAAAGGGTGATAAAACACTCACAAAAGAAATCTTCAAATATTTATTTGTATATTTATTTATTAATATGCATGCACAGGTAAGTGTGTGTGTGTTTTATTTTAATTCCACAGCATGAATGTGACAGAGGAAAACAAATAAACTGCATCTTTCCTTCAACTGTGGTTGTTCTAGGAGTCAGTTCACATTGTTAAGTTTGGCAACAAGTGCCCTCACATGCTGAGCCATGTTGCTGGTTAAAAGGTTCACTGTATGACACAATGTATAGTTGCATGCATGTACTCAATCAGGGATAGTAAAAGCCTAGCTTTGTCCCTTTTTTCCTCCATCTCTTACTCCAAACCATCCTCTCTCCTTCCCAGCCCCTCTCCCTTCCCCTATAAATCAGTGAGTTAGCATGTTTCACTTGTGTTAGCCCAAACAGTTTGTTGTATGTCCTTACTCTCATCCTTGGGAAATAACAAACCAAGCCTTCATTTGTGAATTATTTCTGTATTTGCACACATTTCTTTCATCTTGATTCACATTTTATGCCCAATGACAGTAACATGTTAGTTCATATTTCTTGTATTATGGAAAAGGCCTCAGAGAAAGGAATTCCTTCTCACTCAACAGTGAGAGCTCCCTTCTCTTAGCGCAAGGCTGGAAATCACAGCTTCTGAATTTTCCACAGCCTTTCCCTTTGGTCCAGTGCTGGGAGATTCCCTTTAATTAGCTAACATTTGGTGAAAATGCTAATGCAGATGATACAGGCCAATTTGCCTTCCACAGCATATACTGGTTGCCAATGTTACCAAGAGACTGTGTTCCTAGAAACCAAGGAAGAAAGCAGAAGAAAGTCTCAGAGAGTGCACCACAATGTTGTGCTTTCCTCCTTTTTTTTCTACATTCATCGATTATAAATTCTAGCTTATCTATTCACATTTTACATACTTGCATCCATCTTTCCCTCTTAGATACCATAACCTCTCACTCCATTAACCACACAGCTGGGGCCACAGTGGTCCCTTGGGCAGCCTCAGGCAGGAAGTGACACCCAGACATTTGAGAGCACACAGACCTAAGAAGGGATTTGATTGACAAAGAAATATTTGCATGAAGGGCTCTCTCACCTCTCTGAGAATTGTTGAAGGATAAGAGAGACCCACACCATGTCTGTCTCAGAAATGCTCAGTGGTGTCTGCACCATGGCCTGGATTCCTCTCCTCTTCTTCCTCCTTCATTGCTCAGGTCAGGAGTCATCTGCACCCTTTTCCCAGTTCAGGAAACCATTTGACTACCAGAGACAGTCTCCCCTCTCCTTTCACCCTGAGACTAACATGTTTCTCTATTTTTAGGGTCTTTCTCCCAATCTGTGCTGACTCAGTCACCCTCTGCCTCTGCCTCCCTGGGAGCCTCAGTCAAACTCACCTGCACCGTGAGTAGTGAGCACAGCAGCTATACCATTTATTGGTACCAGCAACATCCAGAGAAGGCTCCTAAGTATGTGATGTATCTTAATAATGATGGAAGCCACAACAAGGGAGATGGGATCCCTGATCGATTCTCTGGCTCCAGCTCTGGGGCTCATCGCTACTTAAGCATCACCGACCTGCAGCCTGAGGATGAAGCAATCTATCACTGTGGTATATATGATGGCAGTGGGGGAGCACAGTAAAATAGATGAATGAGGAAGCAGTACAGGAACTGTTTTGTTCTCTTACAACCAAGACTGGCATATAGTAATGAGAAGCAAAATCTAAAGTTCTTAGCTATCACAGTCATTGGATATTTTCTTTTATTATTCGTGGGGATAGACCAGGTCTAGCAGTTTGGTGAATTCCCAAGGAAATAGAGGGGAAAGTTGGGATTGTATAGAGTGCACTCCTCTATAATAATAATGAATATGCAAAAGTCAAAACTGGCATGCTTACAGCTGAGTCAGTGATACTATTCTAACAAATTGCAGTGGAGGCTCTCACTGTTACCACAATAATTCATAGAAATATCTATTCTATGCAGGATGGCTTTTTGTCTCATGCTCAAAGTGCTTTACACTCCAGCAAATTCCCAAGAAGCTCTGTGTAAGAACATTTAAAGTGACAGTGTGGTTGGAGCACTCTACTGCCAGGAAAAAGAACAGGCACTGGTCTGAATATTGTCCTTGAAAGTACATGACTTCCATGTCCTGCTGCCACACACTCTTTACTTAGTAAGCCTACCTGAAAAAGTGACCACCATGTGGTTTAGTCTCTGCCAAAATTATTCTAAATGTTTTTATTAATTAAATCTTTTCACTTATTTTAAATATTGCTTGCAGTTTACCCTCCCCCATTCTCTCCCTCACATCTCCCCACCTCTCTCTTACACACACACACACACACACACACACACACACACACACACACATCCACACCTTCTCTGTTTCTGTTGAAAAAGGTCCAGGTATCCCATGAGTGTCTTCAAAGCATGGGACATATCAAGTTGAGGTATGACTAAGCTCCTCCCCTCCTATTAAGACTTAGAACAAGGAAATATGAGTAATAGATACCCAAAGCCTGCCAAAATATCAGGGTCAGGCCTCCTTCCCACTACTAGGAACTCCAAAAGTACACCAATGTCGTAAATATTTAGAGGCCCTGGTCGGTCCTATGCACTCTCTTTACTGTCATTGCAATGTGTGAGCCCAGGGTAATTATCTCTGTCAGTTTCCTTGTTATGACCTTAGCCCCCTGGCTCATACAATCTTTCCTCCCTCTCTTTAACAGGATTCCCAGAGCTTTGCCACTGCTTAGATGTGGATCTCTGCATCTGCTTCCATCATTACTGGATGAAGGCTCTCTGATGACAACTAGGGTAGTAACTATTCTGATTACAGAGAGTTTCCCTTGTACCATGTATCTACCTGACCACACGATGCCCCCACTCACAGTATGACATCTCTTATATTATTCTCCCACTCATTCCTGCCCACAAGGGTATCTCTTCCTGTTCCTATCACAAACCACCTGCAGTTTACCAAGTTATATCTTCTATTTCCCCTGCCCAGGGAAATCCATGTGTATGACATTGGGCCTTCCTTGTTACATAGCCTCAATGGGGAGGTGGATTCTTACTAGGTTATCCTTTATTTTACAGACAATATCTACCTATGATAGATTATAATAATTATAAACCATATTTGTCTTCTGGGTTTGGGCTACCTTACTCAAAATGATTATTTCTAGTTCTACCCATTCACAGGCAAATTCACTGATGTCATTGTTTTTTTTTTTTTTCATTAGTTCAAATTAGGAAGAATCTTGTTTCACATGTCAATCCACCCTCCAATCTCATTATTTGCAACACCAACCCCTCCCCTAAATCTAGGCTATGCCTACTTCGGGCAACCCAGGAAGAAATGAAATGGAAGGAAAAGTTGGTTTTTACCTGTTTGACCTCACTCTTGCTGTCCATTAATTATGCATTAAATAGACCTCAGAGGGGGAGCCAAAATGTGTCAGCTGCACAATGAAGTAACTTCGGAGTGGGCACCAAAATTCATCAATGTCACATTAAGTAATGAAAAAGAGAGAGAGAGAGAGAGAGAGAGAGAGAGAGAGAGAGAGACTTCCTCTTGGAATAGTTAACCAAGAATTAACCAAAATTTTAATTATCTACTTATTTCCCTGTCTTCAATCTGACTGTTCCTAATGTCTGTGTTACCTGTTTGTGTTGTCTGTCTTTTGTACTTATTTGTTGTGCCTTTCTATATTTTGTACTTATTTGTTGTGCCTTTCTATAATATTGTGCTTGTCTATATTTCCTACCTGTCACACCTGTGTGTTCCTTGTTGCCTATGTGTGACCTGCCCCTGTTTTCTGTCTCTAACAAAGGGCAGGAAATATGCTATGGGACAGAAATGAGGAATTATTTTCTCTGGAAAATTTAAGAGTTTTACAGTAGGAAAGGTTACTTTACTGAGTCCCAGCTGACTCAGAATAGCATTTGACCCCATGATCACGTGTTATCATCCTGATTCCATATATTGCTCCAACATTCATGGAATATTCATTTTGCTTATTCATCCTATTGGGTGTTTTCAGAAAATGATTACAATATACATTGTGCATGATTCTGTTTCAGGGGCATGAGAGAGTGCATATTTTAAGATTAATGCTATACATTTATCTCAGGTTGTAAAATCCGATTGCATGGGAATTCAAGGCATTGTAAGGTTGGTTCTATTATTCTCTTAAAGGCAGGTTAAACTTAAATAGGATGAGTATACAGTAGGACAGCAAATTATCTCAATAGCTAATTTAACCAATTTAGCTTAAATGATCTCCATGTGTATAATCAACTTTATTGCATAGTCTGGAAAAAGCTCAGTCTTTTCAAAGGCAAGAGGTTTTTTTTTTTTTTTCAGGTTAATGGGATTCCACTGTAGACTAAAGGTCAGCAGCTCTTTAGGAATCTTGTTCCAGATTGAGACAGCTGAGAGCATCCAACCTCATGAAATGAACAACTACAAGCTTCTTGACCTTTCTGGTGTGAGACACCCATTGTCAGGCTATATAGACAGATCTGTTTCTTTGGGGGACACTGACTATACCCCAAGCTTACTCTGAGTGCTGTTCAAGAAAATGAAAGACCCAGGATCTCCATGTGACTAGTGGTGGGGGCATCGTTCACTCATCTCTTTCCTGAGTAATTGGTAGGGGTTCTTATTTCTACTTTAGGTCTCTGACTTAGCAGTGATCTTGTTCCTACTGAAAATTTAATGTAGAAATAAAGTGAGGTTTTTAGGATTCACTTGATAATTGACCAGTATCAGGCAGGGACCTCTGATCTCCAGACCCATTTCTTCTCTAATCTCTTTGGCAAGAATAGTTTTTGTGGGTCACATGATGACCTCATGTCTCTTGTCTTCACTACTAGAGACAGCTTCTACCTAAGGTACTCCAGGCTTCTATGCATGATAGTTCTTAACTAGCACTTCTCCCAGCTGCATTTGTAGCTTGTTTAGAACCTTCTCATTGTTCACTGACGTTTGAGAGTTGGTACTTGTTCTTGTGGAAATAAGTCCCAGTTACACAGACCCATTGGGTACCCACCTCACAACCTTCTGCTAACTCTCTTTATTGGATTTGACCACTGCTTTCATGAGAGAATTAATGACTGATACTGTAAACATGGTCAAATTTATTTATTTGCTAAATGGCCATGTTTTCAAATTGTTTTCTAATGTTTTTTTTCTTTTTTCTTTTTCTTTTTTTTTTGTGGTAGACATGGGATGGCCAAAATCTTACTGCCTACATCTTTCCAAGGGACAGTAAGATGTGGAGCAATTTTAGTTTTGTTGTTGTTGTTATTATTCATTTCAAATGCTTCATCTAGCTACGTAAAACAACCCGGAAGAGGAGTGCATTAGGGAACAACAGAAAACAGCAGTATGGCACCAGAACCAACAATGCTGGGGCTCTTTCTTTTCTAAAAGATTCTTTTTATTTACTTTTTGGAATTTTCAGACATCCATACAATGTATCTTGACCATATCTATACCTACTTCTGTCCCCACCACCCCCCCACCCCCGCCACTCCTAGGAATTCCACTTCTAAAGCAATGAACAGGACTGAGAAAGTATAGATATTTGGCAAAGAGTGGTGTAGGGAGACACCCATAACCATGCCTCCTAAGGGCTGGCTACAGGTGTGCCTGACCACACCTGTCATGGTGAGGTCAGAATGATGAGGCATGGGCTCTTAAGTGACCAGGAGCACATGGAACGCTCACTTCCCCTTCTGCTGCCCTTTCTCTCTGGCCTCGCTGCTCTGGCTTGCGTTTGGCTGGTATTTATGTGAATAAAGGTATCTTGAATCTACAAGCTTTTTCCTTCACTATGTCAAACATACGTTCCAAAGTTTCCTTATTGTAATCTAATAAAAGCATATCATCCATGTAATGATAAACAAGAGATTGTGGAATTTTTTTTACAAATTATTTCCAAAGGTCTTTGTACAAAGTGTTGACATAAAGTAGGACTATTTAGCATCCCCTGAGGTAAAACCTTCCACTGATATATCCGAACTGGCTGTGAGTTATTAAGAGTTGGTACATTAAATGCAAATTTCTCTCTATAATTTTCTTGTAATGGTATAGTGAAAAAACAGTCTTTCAGGTCAATTACTATGATCGGCCATCCTTTAGGTATTAAGGAAGTCAATGGCATTCTAGGCTGTAGAGAGCCCATAGGCTGGATTACCTTATTTATGGCTCTCAGGTCTGTCAGCATTCTCCAGTTATCTGACTTCTTTTTTATAACAATACAGGAGAATTCCAAGGGCTGGTAGACTCGTCTATTTGTCCAGCCTATAGCTGTTCTTGTACTAACTTTTCTAGAACCTCTAGCTTCTCAGAGGTCAAAGGTCATTGCCCTATCCAGACAGGTTCATCTGTAAGGCAGGGCCTTTGGTTCCTCTGAAGGTCGATCATTTATATTTAGTTTCTGTCCAACCAGGATGGTTGGTTACCATTTCCCATAGCATCTTACCTGATCTTTTTACTATCCAGCGATGTCAATAATTTGTAACTAACACTGGAGGGATCTTAATTTGAGTTTTCCATTGCTGTAAGAGATCATGACCCCAGAGGTTTATATCTATATTTGCCACACATAAGGTTTTAGTCTCCCTTTCTCATCTTCTGGTCCAATGCCGAACACCAAGCAGACACTCTGTTGTACTCTAGATAGTGTTCCAATACCCAAAAATTGTACATTCGCTTTCCTGAGTGGCCATTCCCTAGGCCAGGACATGTGGGTAATGATAGTGACATCAGCACCTGTGTCCACTATCCTGTTAATAATTTATCATTAATTTTTTTATTAGTTCAAGTTAGGAACAAGTTTGTTTCACATGTCAATCCCTTCTCCCTCTCCCTTTCCCTCCCCTCACCCCCATCTCTCCTCCCCCACCCCATCCAACCTCCACTCCTAAGGCAGGGTAGGGCCCTCAACAGAGGCTCTGCAAAGTCCACCACATCTTCCTGGGCTGGGCCTGGGCCCTTCCCCATGTATTCAAGGCAAGAGTGTATCCTTTCACATGGGATGGGCTCTCAAAGTCCCTTCTTACAACAGGGAAAGTACTAATACACTACCAGGGGCTCCCTGAAGTGCAGAGGCTTCCTCATTGACATCCATGTTCAGGAGTCTGGATTAGTCCTGTACTGGCCTCCCAGACAGCATCTGGGGTCGATGTGTAAAGTGGGAAATTACCAATACGGAGCCAAGTAGAAATATAAGGCTATTTAATAGGGAAAAGCCTTACTTACAAAGCGACCTAGCCAGCTGGCATGGCAGCAGTCTGTACAGCCATCGGAAAGGCAAAACTGAAAGTTAAACCCAGCCACCTGAAACTCTCACTCAACATCACCATGACCACGCCCTCACAGGCGTGGTCAGGTACATCCCTAAGTGGGCAGCTTCCCCTACAATTCCCCTTTTATTCTAAAAGAGGAATAAACTTAACAGTGTGAGTATCCAAAATTAACAATCATAAAGGTGAAATATAAGAAGATACAACAATCTGCTTATGTCACATCCTAACTATCTATTTTAACTAAACCCTAAAGTCATCTGAAAGAGGTGTCCAAGCCTGAACACCTCCTTCCAATCCCAACCATAAACAATAGGAAGCTATCCATAACTAGGTATATAAACTATCCTAAGTGACAGCAATGGGGGAAAGGGGACGTTGCATTCTCCAAGTTACTTCCTGCTGAAATGGGATGACAACATCCTTGTGGAGTCCTGTAGGAAGAAAAGGTTAGTATAGTAAAAGTCTTGAATGAATTGTATCCAGTCCATGTTAGATGGGATTCGCTTGATTGAAGATCTCACTTGAAATCCTCAACTTGATTGAAGTCAGTACCTGAAGCTCTGGCAGAAGGGTCAGTTGAAATGGAGCAAGTTGGATCCAGTGCAATTGATGAGGTGTGGCCCATTTTCTTTCTGGGGTCTCCAGGGATTGCTGTCAGGCAGGTCTTCATTGGCTGTGTGGGACTCAAACATAAATAGTTAGCAGAGAAATGTTTGCTTGTGTATGTATACATACTGGGGAAGCCAACCATGGGAGCATAACAATTATGTGAGGGTGCATACCTTGAGAGAAAGATCCAAGAAAAGACAAAGACAGTCCCTAAAGTGGGAAATTACCAATATGGAGCCAAGTAGAAATATAAAGGTATTTAATAGGGAAAAGCCTTACTTACAGAGTGACCTAGCCAGCCATCAAGGCAGCAGTCTGTACAGCCATCGGAAAGGCAAAACTGAAAGTTAATTCCAGCCACCTGAAACTCAACATCACCATGACCACGCCCTCGCAGGCGTGGTCAGGCACATCCCCAAGTGGGCAGCTTCCCCTACAAATGTGCTCCCCCTTCTTCAGGACAACTGTTTCTCTGGGTTTCTCCAACTTGG